AGATGACGCAAGTGATCGATAAAGAGCTTTGCATAGGTTTTAGCATTGTAAATACAAACGCCACTCAGTGGAAATCAGGCCAGGCCAGACCCGATCATTCCGTCCCAGATACAGGCCTGAAAGTACAAAGCACGGGCGCAAAGGCTCAGATTACGCTCGCTGCACGCGAAAGAGCTTGTTTGGTAAACTACCGGTGTGAAGGGGACCGGAACCTGGGCTGCCCCATCCCTCCCGGCGTTGGAGGTTAGCGACAGGTCACCGCAGTCGGGAACTGACCGGCCGCTCAGCGACGCCCGGCACCGAAAGAGGGCAGCGCCAGTACACAGAACAGGCCAGACATTAGCTGGCAGCGTCACTGACGCCTACACACGGTCATGTATGGGGGGGGGGGGGGGGGAAGGCAGGTGCGCGGAGACGCGCTTCGTAGACGACCACGATTGTCGGTGACGAAACCGCACGGCGTCACTGAGAAGACTGGCGGTCGTCACATAACACTAAATATTACAAATATGCAGGCCTGTGTCTCACAGTGCTGGGTACGTTCTTTCGAGCGCGTGAGCAGCTAATGTGAAGTGAACTGACTGGGAAGTGATGGCAAGTTGACAGATGAACTGGCGTCCGCCTCAGCTATCGGCAAGCAGAAGACGCAGTAGTGTCTGGTGAGCCGGCAAGCAGAATGTTCACGTTCACATTCGTGCGTTACGGCGGCCATACAATAGAGGCAGAGATCAGTTCACGTCGCCGGAAACACCGCTCGCTGGGCCAGGCGGTCTGCCCATCCCTCGTGACATTCACCTTGCTTGACCGGCCCCGGTCACCTGTCTGTCGTCCACGCCCGAGGCGGGGACCGCAGGCGTCAGGGGCGGGTGAGGCCGAACAGCACCGACCACCACCCGCCAGGTCATCCACGGCCACATGCATCATGGGCGCGGTGAGGCCGAACAGCACCGACCACCACCCGCCAGGCTAACCGCTGCCACTGGCACCACGGGCGCTGCTCTGACCGAACTCTCGTGCCTTCCCTGCCCTTCAGTGTAAGTTTGAGCAACCCCCGCTCCCGACTTCGCTGCGAGCCAAGCTCACGCTCGGCGCTGGCGGTGTGAAGCCGAGACATCGTTCGGAGCCGGCTTTTGGGGCCAGACGGCGATAGTCCCAATGCAACTGCACCGCCGCTGCACGGCCCGGTACTTGACTGCACTGCACTGTGCAACGGGCTCTTCGTAAAGCAAACGATTAACACTACCGCGGGGCGGATTGCTGCAGGAATCATGTCACACCAAAGGCCGAGCTGTTGTGCACTAAACGGACACGCGCCCGAGTGGCCTGTCACAAGGCTGCGCAAACCGACTGAAATAGACAAATTAACCGACTGAAATATGCAACTTTGCGTTTCGTGGGCGGTGGGTGGGTGCCCCTTCGCATAAGCGAGGTGTGTGGTGCATATTCATTGGCCCGGCGTTTCGAGAGGATCTGATCTGGCAGCTCTGGTACTGTAATAGAATCTTTATATGTGAAGCACAGCTGACTATGTCACTGTCTTTATGTATACTTGACGCCATACCGATACAATGGATGCGATATATTCAATTATTAGTTTTGGATGAATGTGATGGATGGATGTCATCATAATCGATTCAAACTGTACGAATAATGGACAGATGATACCACTTAATGGATATTATCATTATATGGTGGTTCTGAGTACAGGATCTTTTTATGTTTGCCTATCATTGCATCCATCCAGAAAATGGAGTAGCAGGATAAGCCGAAACACCTTGACATGAAGTAGCTTGATGTTGGAAAGTGCAGTACGCCGTTATTCGCCATGGGCTCCGATCTCTCCAACGAGCCTCACCCCGACGTACACCCACCTGAGTCGCTTGGCCTCGTCGATGAAGGGCCGCTTCTCCTCCTCGGTCAGCAGCTTCCACTCGGCGCCGAGCCGCTTCGAGATCTCCGAGTTGTGCATGCGCGGGTTGTCCTGCGACATCTTGCGCCGCTGGCCGCGGGACCACACCATGAAGGCGTTCATCGGCCGCTTGATGTGGCAGTCAGCCACGCTGCCCTCCATGGCAGCGAGCGGCGAGCGTCGCCCCGCGGCCCGCGCGCGAGGTGAGAGCGGCGACTGCGGCGACCGGCGGCCGGGCGGCAGCGCAATCTTCTGAGGGTGTGACGCGGCCGCGAGCAGGCGACAGGGTGTCGTCGCCACACCAGGACAGCGGCGGTTTGCCCGCGGGGGCGGGCGACTAGTCCGGGGAAGTGAAGTCAGCGCGAAGCGAAACAGCTGGACTCGAGGCCCGGCAGGCTTATGGGACTCGACGTGGCAAAGGCTGTGTGCAGGCCGCGGCCGCCCGGCCCGCGCGACAGCGGGGGCTCGGGCTCTCAGCGAACTGCGGTCGACACTGACGACCCGCGGCACCGACCTGCCTCCCGTGCCCGGCGGACGGCGCCTGCCCGTCTGTCTCGGCACGGCCCGGCGCCCGCGTCCGAGCCTCGGGAATCACACGGCTGCCGACCTTTACGGCTCAGTTTGCCGGCCGACAACGCGTCGGCGGCGCCCTAACGGTCGTCCGGGCCGCAGCCGACAGGCAATTCTTATCGATTCCGGCGAGGAACAAAGCTGTAATCCAATGGGCTTTTGTCTTGTTGACTGGCTCCGCCCCCACCATTGTGTCTAACAATGCGATTGGACGCCTTGGCTGACCGGATGTGGCACCGGAGGGGTGGGGCATCCGAGACGGTGACGCCCGAGACAGACCGCCTCGGGCCGTTTGACGTCGGGCCGCTACTCGGAATGGAGGCATCGGAGCCGAGATGAAAGGCGCCAGCGACAATGGCTGAAAGCGAAGGGTAAACGTAGTGCTACGTCAAAGTCTAGGAATAAGACCGGTGTAAGTTGTTTCCTGGCGTCCTCATAGTATCACCGTACCGTGGCGATCACCACCGTTTAGCAGGAGGCTGCCTTCCATTTTCGCCGGACGCTGTGTTGGAATGAGTGGCGCACCCAGGGTGGGGGCGAGGGAAATGGGGAGGGCTCCTCCTCTTATCTCGGATGAGACCACCCCCCACCCACCCACCCCCGCCCCCCTAACCGGAGCTGATGCTGGCTGTTGTTTCCCTGAAAATTGCTACTTTTTTCCTCTTGTCTTTTCTCCCATGCTCTCACTCATACATTTTTCGTTTTATATTAGATAGCGACGACTCATGTACATACAAGGACGGTTGTACGCACGTAATGCCTCCGGGTGCGCGTGGCCCCTTCATCATTTTTTTGTTTTTGAAACTGCGCATGTGCACGATGAAATAACAACGCTAAGAAGATGGGGCACCTGCGTAAAAATAATTACATCGAGGACACGTGATGTTGTATGCCACGCTACAAATTGTATTCCCACAGCGCGCTCTGCTTGGTTGCCAGTGAAAAATATTGAATTGTGCGCCTGCCAGTGCAAAGTGCAGCGTACGCCCGCTACATACCGGTGACCTGTGAGTGCTCTTCATCAGCACCTCTCGCTTCGGCTGGTGCAGAGGATCCGAAACTCCGAACACTCAGGCTTAAACTGGAAACGTTGCGGTTGCAAAAATTCCAGTTGCATGGCATTGTATTGCACACAATCGGGTCAAAACAAAACAATTGTGCTATTCTCAGACCCTCGTCAATTGAAATGGTCGCAGGACAGGTCGTATGTGCCAAAAACACTGGGCCACCCTCCCACCCTTCCACCCGCAAGCCACACACGGCACACGCCTTCTGAAAAGAACTCAAATTTGTCGAATTATGTTGCGGATCCTTCAGTTTTGAACTGACGCTTTGAGGCGTTGGATAGCTCTTGCGTGATGGCTTTCACCTTATTCTGCTGTCTCGTTATACTGATGGCTGCTGAGAATGAGGATAGCTGGATCAAGGGGGTCTAGCTAGAGGTCCAGCCCTCTGCGGAGAAAAACCCTGGCGTCCCGCTGCTGACTGGAACCACATTCAGACCCAAGAAACCACTCTGTAGCCAGCCACATGAAACTCCCCTTTAAAATCGTGTGTTTTAAGCTCACGGACCTAAACAACGTGCTTACCAAAAAAAAAAAACGCCAGTTGGTGAGAGGCCGCGTCAGCATAGTTCTGCATGCGCGATGTCGCAACTCAAACTCACACCCCCAAACGCAACGTCATATGTCGGTGCAGAGGTACAGAAGACCTTAAGGTTTGATCGGAGCGGTCCTCTTGGTCCTAGCTCTGCATGACTGCCGCCTAAAGCCGATCAACATGGTCCAGGCGCGAGATCGTTCTCTGGGTGCGGCCGGCTGTTATCGCACAGATCTGTCCATGGATCTCACCGATCGGCAGCCTCCGTTTCTCGTTCGCGGTTTTGAGTGACTGCTACCTATGAGACCCTGCAGTGGCAGCTTCGACTTTCGATGCAATAAAAAAGCGAGGAACACAATATAAAAAACGTGGTTGCCTAAAGTGTGATAGTGGAAGCTAGAGTAGCAGGTCAGTAAAAGTTGAGGCAATCAAGGGGCGTGGACTGCAAAGGATGGCCAATCTGCTAACTTTGTATGATCCTATGAGATGAAATCTTGCATCCTGCAATAAACTCAACGTGGGCATTGCTCAGACCCCCGATGTGGCTAGTGTCTGCCTGCATCGTCCGCTGCTCCCTATCACAGCTACACGGATGAATTCAAAAAGCAGACCGCACCGTTTAGCCGGCGAAAGCTAGCCAGTCTCATAGTGCCGTTTTCTCTTTTGGCACCTTTTGCCATTGTTTAAGCATATGTTCGAAACACCTGTTCATATTGTGAAAGAGTTTGCAGGCATTTATCTGCAAAGTCCACGTGGCGAACGAAGGCTTGATTTGGCCACGTTTACCTAAAAATTCAAACCCGTTCATGTCCTACATTTAAGAGCATTCGGCGCACCGGTCGTCACGAGGCAAGCTCAGGCTCTATATACATTATGCATGTCTACAATTATGAACACGAGGCGTTACAGCGTTTTGTGAGCGATGACCGTTGAGGTGCGTCGGGGATACCGACACGAAAAGACGGTGGGACGAGGGAGAGCGAGCCCGTTTACGGTACGTAGAAAGGCCAAACAGCATCCCATGCATGTCATCAGCAGCCGGTTGTGAGTCGAACATGGGCATTGTGCGCTTTCGACTGATAAATAATGATGTTTTGCTAGTGTTGAGCTCACTTGAGAGCCGCGTCTCATTGTTTACATGCTAACCAGAAACGACATTACGCTGCAGAACGACCAGTAACCAGTTTCATAACGGGAAAACGCCCAAGGTTTTACTTCGAATCCGGTTGATTAAGGCAGGAAAAGTGCGCACTATTACGCCCGTAAAATTCTACTATTAAGGGCGACATCTGAATTAAGGAGTTACTCCGTACTTCACAAGGCATCCATTGGGTACCATAAACGCAGCTGATATCATCACGGAGTGGAAATTCACTCCAAAACTGAATTGAAATAAAAGGGTGCTCTGGCCCGTCGTAAAATCAGGAGCGGTGATCATAGATGAGCCGGCGTGTACGTCTAAATGAGAAAATCAATACAACTGCAGCTCGCAATGTAACTTTGCAGGCATCACATCACAGGCCTATGCCAAGAACTCTGGTGGATAAAGCTGGCAGGCCGTTATGAGCACCAACCTCTTTCCCCACAGTCGCGGAACTCACGAGATTGTGTTTTTCTTTCTTGCTATGGCACAAATAGACATGGTATAAGTTCAGAGCATGAACACACGAACCAAACAGCTTGGTTTACTTTTGCTAGTAGCGAAAGTAAACAAAGCGGAAGTAAACAGGGGCCATCATCACTGCCTGAGAAATTGGTCGGGCGGGCGACTCGTTAACGTTAGGCGGTAACGTCACAGAGACGCGCGGGCCTGCACGGCGGCGTCGCATGGCAACGTCGACTGCGTCGCTTGGAAGGTGGTGGTCGCGCAGAAGTGTGAAGGCCTGGTCTTTTGTGCACTGTAGTGTCGAGTTTGTTAGGTTAGATGACCTTGGCGCGTTTGATTACCCCATAGGCGGAAGCAATTTACAGTGGTGTGTGAGCGTTGGACCGGAGTCAGCACTGAAGGCAGCTTTTGGCAGCATGATGCCCCCCCCCCCCCCTGTGCAGTGACCTGGTGCAAGAATCTAGCGTGCAAGAAATGCATCCACTTTCCACGTTTCCAAAAAACCACCCGAATGTCCTGAAACCATGGGTACCGT